TAAAAATTTATATTATTAAACCAAAAATTTACTTTGTTATTAAATCAAAATTAACGTATAATAAAAAATTGAATTAAAGAAGTCACACAAAAAAAAAACGAGAATTATTAAATAGTTAATTTGACACTAATATCGATTTATTTTTTTCAAATTTATATTTCATTTAAAAATAAAAACATTATCGTTTTCTCAAAGTCACATAAAATCGTATTATATCTATAGAGACGAATAAAAACTAAACATTAAAATGAAGATTTATTTCGTTGCATTGCGCGAGTACCCTTCTAGTATTCAAAAAATAGGAAATCAGTTATAAGCTAAAAAATTCTCAACAAAATTTACTTTTTTTAGGTGAATTGTTTACAAAACGAAAGAAATATTAACATGTTATTGTTATTTATATTGTAAAACATTCATGCTAAACTCTTAAAAATCACTTTTTATGTATTAAGTACTATTTATTAATGCATATTATTTAAAGTTCACGATTACAAGTAAATTGTATGTAAGTATAATTTATTAAAGCTCTATTTTTAAATTCGTGTAATTAGATGTAGATAAAAAATAATCAAATACAAGATAAACATCTCATTTTAAATATAAAAACTCTAACATGTAATTAGGATAATCATTGACTTTTAACAAAATACTTAATTATTATCTTTATAAAAAATTATATTATTAAATAAAAAATAAATTACTTCATTATTAAATATAAATTAAATTATAACAAAAAATTGAATAAAAAAAGTAAACTAAAAGCGAGAATTTTTAAATAGTTAATTTGATTCTAATATCGGTATATTTTTTTCAAAGTTTTATAATATCTTCAAATTTATAATTTATTAAAAAATAAAAACATTATTGTTTTATTAAAACCACGTAAACCCATATTATATCTATAGGGACAAACAATATAATATTAAAATCAAAATGTATCTTGTTGCATTGTGCGGGTATTATTTTAGTTATATTATAGAGCATTTGGGCTAAAGTTTTAAAAACCACTTTTTATGCATTAAGTACCACTTATTGATACAGTTTATTTAAAATTCAAGATTAAAAATTGATTAAGCATAAGTACAATTTATTAAAGATCTATGTTTGGATTTATGTAATTAACTGCAAATAAACATAATAAATACAAAATAAACACTATAAGATGGAACACTTATTTTTATTTTATAAAAAATCTAAGATTTTAAAACTTTTCATATAACTAACCGATAAACACAAGAAAATTCGAGATAAAGCACCTCATTTTTTTTATAAATATATTATCTTCTTAATTTTAAATATAAAATATCTTAAATATAGTCATCATTTAAATCCAACGATTTTTGATCTTAACATTTGGTACGCAGACATGATAGGACAAGATAAGAAAGAAGGAGTGGACAAGACTGAACGATTTGCTACTAATATCGATAAAATTTTCAAATTTGTATTTTATTCAAACATAAAAACATTTTCACTTTCTCAAAACCATATAAAACTGTGTTATAACATCGACAAAGATAAAGAATAAAACAAAACATTAAAATCGAGATGTATCTTGCTGCATAGCGTAAGTACCCTTCTAGTTATTTACAAATACCAATATATTAAAATCCAGATCATTTATTGATATAAAAAAATGAGTGGTCCGAGGGATTGATGAGTTCACCAGCGTCAAAACGCGTTGATAATAAGCAAAACTTAAAAGATAATTAGCTTGTGTTCTTAGTTTGGATTTTGTCTGTTCTTTCATTGTCTCGGTTTGTTATGATCTTGTGTGAACTTCCGTTCTTTGCTTTGTCCTCGGACGGTTTTGGCTGTTGTGAGTCCTGGTTTTGTTTTTACAGGTTGCTTGTTTTCAGGCGTTTAATTAAAAACTCATTTAAAGTTATATTTCTAAATGACCCCGTGCCGGGACATTTAAATATATAATCTTAAATGTAATGAGTATGAAGCAATAGGCCACGAGGTCATGAATTTAATTAAAAACTCATTTAAGGTCATATTCTTAAATGGCCCACCTGCAACTTGCAGAAGCTTCTTTTGTTATCTGTTGGATCCTTTTGTTTTTAATAAAATGTTGCCATTTCAAAAGAAAAAAAAGCAAACGATAAGTTTACAAAAACATTTCTTAAATTTTTTTTAGTAAAAACTATAATCAAAATTATCAAACAACCGAAAGGAGTAGAGTTGCGGAAAAAGGGCAACCACTGACCTACAAAGGTTAAAAGGTCATTGGTTTAGCGGTATCCGAATTACATGTAAAACATGATTTCTCAAGAGGTCCGGTGTTTAAACCACACACCAAAAATAAGGAGTGTTTGTAAGTGTTGTTGGAAATGTAAGTGAGGTTGGAAGTTTAACCTCCATCTCACATTGGTAAATAGGAAAACATTAGAGAGCCTTATAAGGCTTTCTTTTTAATTAAGCCTTGAACTTGTTGATGGACTCATGGTGGAGGTTATMAGTGGAAGGCCCAACGCACATGTGCGCATGCGATCATGGGATTCACGAGAAGGCACACTTTGCGCCTCAAGCTTCCAAGTATTTTTTTTTTTTGGTATAGATTAGAGAGAGATAATTATTGGTTATATAATTATTTGTTTGAGAAATTTACAATTTATTTGTTTTATAAACCGAAAATCAGAATAGACTAATTTTTAAAAAACGTGTGGAAATCAGTTAGAGACTTGGTCTCTATGTGGGTTAAACCACCTCAAATCACACACTGGAAAATAGTTTGCTCTCTCTAGAACTTCTGCCAAGATTCGTGCTCTCTCTCTCTCTCTCTCTCTCTCTTGTTTTTCCTGCTTAAATCAGTAAAAAAAACTACCATCAATTCTGCATCCTTCGTTTTCGTTATCAAAGTTGTTGATAAACGAAACCAGATACTGCATCAAATCCTGAGGCTTTGCGACTACTAGACTCACAACATACAAGAGTAGTCGTATAAAACCTTTAAAGACAGGTTCCGATTCAACGTCGATTCAAACAGGTTGGTTTTAATTTTCGTGTACTGTATTTATTTTCCTGTTCACTAAGTGAACAACTCTGTTTCTACTCCCTTCTTTCACCGAATCTATTGCGGAGGATAAATTCAATCTGTGTGACATTGATCCGTTTGGGGTGTTTTGGATTCCGGATTTTTAAACTTGATTGTAAAGATTAAAACTTTATTGTTTAATTTATCTAAATCTTGATTTTTTTTCTTCAACAAGTATTTACCAAAAACCCATCATCACCATACCAGTTCCACAAGCATTATACATGTTGTGAAAACTCTACTGCTTTCCATCACAACAGTTCAACTGAAATGAGGTGGAGGTTCAATAATTCATCAAACAAATGGAATTCTAAAATTCATTTTGATCTTGTATCTTATTGATTCGATGTCATGCAACTCAAAAACTTTAAACCCCTAAACGACAGCTAACATAAAAGCAAACTTTTCATTACTTTTAAAACCCATAATTTAACACACAATAAATACTGAATTATACAAAAAGGGAAAACCCACACAAGCTCAACTTCATGTCACCATCCAAAACTCAACATAAAAACTCAATTTTTATTTGATTTCAAGAAAATAATGTAGATGTTGGGGAAGCCTTTGCTACTTTCTTAATGAGCAAGTATTAAACTATCACCAAGCTTCAATCATACCCATTGATTCTGGAGGGTCAAACCCAACACCAACTCCAAGATTCAACAAAGTGCAAAAAGTACCCTAAAATTTGCAAATACAACCAAACAAAGCATAAGGGTACAACTAGGGGTGCTTATAGGTTGGGTTGATCGGTTGAAGATATTTGAACAATTTAACTCAATGTTTACAGTTTGAAAAATCTTAACTCAACCCAAACTGTATGGGTTGGTCGAGTTGATACTTTGATACGTTAAAAATATTCTTATAACATTGAATATGTTGTTTCTCTACTCATAGTTTTTTTTCATCATCAACCATTTGCTACAACTTATCCATATTTCTTACGTATATCACATTCAATTAATTTTTTCAATTTACATGTATATGTTTATAGTTAACGAACATATATACGAATGAGTTATATAAGAATGTGAATAGATTGAAAATATGTGTATATGAATAGCGTACGTGATGATGTAATTGTCTCATGTATATATATATTAATAGAAACTCAACAATCATATTAAATCCAAAAATAAAAGAATATCAGGTTCATCGGATTAGGTTATGTTCGGATAATAGCAACTCAATACCTACGTTTTGAAAATTTTACAACTTGATTAGACATCACGTTGCTTCGGGTTAACTTATTTTGCGTTGGGTTGAGTTGAGTTGATTGGGTTTTTTAGCACCCCTAGGTACAACAACGGCTAATTTCTTTAAAATGTCTATGTTGATAATTTTATATCTATCAATTAGCTTTTCAATTAGTTTTTACCAAACATTCAATTAACTTTTAATAAATAATCAGATAACTTATCAACCACCAACTATCCTAACAAAATTAGATAGCTTATCAACCACCAACTATCGTAACAAAACTAATAACAACAATGAGACAACCTAACCACAAGGGTGGTATCTGATTGGTTTGAGCTTGACTCCAAAGGTCAAAAGTACCTGGAGGTCCCAAGTTCAAATTCAAGAAGGGACAAAAATTCTCTTGTGGCCACGGAGGTTCAAATACGATGACTCTAGACTATCTGCAAAATAAATGGTCATCCTAATATTAATCGACTTTCATAACGAGTTGGATATCCAGATTAATTAAAAAAATATCAATGAAAATATCAATGAGACAACCTAACCCCCTCCACCACTCTTTTCTTGTATTTCAAAAACACTAGTGGGCCCCACCAGCCACCACCACCACTCTCAATCAACAAAAAAGACCCAACTTTCCACTTTTGCTTTCTTGTAATCCCATTTCTTTAGACCTCTATTTTAACCTTGCAATCATTCATGTCTTCTTTCTCCTTCATTGCCTCCATTGTTGATCTTCAAACACTTGGTTAACATGTCACACTTCTCACAACCATCATCGCTGCCACCGGAGCCACCTGAACCACCGGAGCCGCCGTCGGTCTACTGCACCCCATCACCGCAATCGAAAGCCACCACCCCATCTCCTGTCACCCGTATTCTCATGTCACGACAGCAATCATCTGCTAAACCATCTCCACTAACCAAACTCGTCTCGAGACAACCGTCGTCAACTGCCAGCCCGTACCCATTACCGCCACCGGAATATCCGTATTACGAACACATCACAGAGAAAACAAGAGACAGAATCTTGCTGAGAAGACACCGCCATACGAATCCCGCCATCTGGTGCAGCGCCATCATCTGTTTGATCTTCAGCCTCCTCATCATCTTCTTCGGGATCGCCACTTTGATCCTCTTTCTCGTTGTCAAACCAAAAACCCCGGTTCTTGACACCAACCACGCAAGCCTCAACGTGATATACTTCGATGCACCTGGCCATTTCAATGGCGATTTCACTTTCATCGCTAACTTCTCCAACCCCAACAAGAAACTCGATGTAAGATTCGAGCATGCTGTTATGGAGTTGTATTTCGAAAACAATTTGATCGCAACTCAATCGATTCAACCTTTTAGCCAAAGGCGAAAAGAGACGGGGGTGGTGGCGATTCACTTCATATCGAGCTTGGTTTATCTGCCACCGAATCAATCAATGGAGCTTCAGAAACAGGTTTTGAGCAATAAGGTTTTGTATAGCGTGAGAGGGACGTTTAGGGTGCGAGCGAGTTTGGGTTCGGTTCATTTCTCGTACTGGTTGCATGGTCGATGCGAGCTGCAAATGGGTAGTCCACCATCTGGTTCACTCATGGCTAGAACCTGCAAGACAAAGAGATGAACACATTCTTCTTTATAATAGCTTATAATTCATGTTTTCATTAGAAAGATTGGTGAAAATGGAGATGTAAATGAACTCGATTCGATGATGTTTTGTGTGTATACATTGATATGATACATCATATAAGTAGAATCTTTCAGAAAAACCTACGCTTTTCGTCTCTTCGGTTTTCATACGAGCCTTCGGGGAGAGCGTATTGGCTTCAACATATATCGAGGAGAAATGATCGAAGTTTAGCTGTTGCGAGACATACTTCAACATATATTTGGGAGAAATGGTCCAGCAGGGGACTCTGAATAACATGCCCTCTCCAACGGAAGCTACACAGATACTGATTATCCCCGAGTGCCGAGTACCTAAAGCAGTTGACTTTGACTCTCATACATGTATGAAATTTGATTAGATTACTCTCCAGAAAAAAGTGCTTATGGAAAAAAGGAGGTTCCAAAGTATACGACAAAGTCAAGTTTAAAACATTTGAACAACCTAACCACCCAACCCAACCCAAACCGTACGGGTTGGTTGGGTTGATACTTTGGTACATTAAAATGTTTTTCTAACATTGAATTTCTTAGTTCTCTACTCATAATTTATTTTTCATCATCAACCATTTGATACAACTTATCCATACTTCTTAAATCTTATGTATATCACATTCAATTAATTTTCTCATTTTACATATATATGTTCATATTTATTGAACACATATATACGAATGAGTTATATAGAGATGTAGAATAAAAATATGTGTATATGAAGAGGGTACGTGATAGTATAATTGTCTAATGTATATATTAAAAGAAATTCAACAATCATATTAAATCCAAGAAATACAAGGATATTAGGTTCTTCGGGTTGGGTGAGTTTCAAATAATAGTAACTCAATTTCAACCCAATANATTAAATCCAAGAAATACAAGGATATTAGGTTCTTCGGGTTGGGTGAGTTTCAAATAATAGTAACTCAATTTCAACCCAATACCTACGGTTTCAAAATTTTACAACTCGATTAGACATTGAGTTATTTCGTGTTGAATTGATTGGGTTGGTCGGATTTTTAAGCACCCCTACTTTACAAGAGCGGTAAAGTAACAAACAGAAATTAACAGAGTAAGAGACCGTTTACCAAACGCTTACCCTGGTAAGAATTTATCAGCAAAATTCAATATTATCACTTATGGTAAGAGTCGTCGTCTTCACTTACAGGGTAAGACTCTAGGTCCTTATCTTTGCTCTTACCGAGTAAGATTATTGGTTTTTCCCATATTCATCAGTAAGGCAATATAACTTGATAAGCACTTACCGGATAAATGTTTAATAAACGTCTTGAATAAACAATGTTATGTTTCTTCAAGTGCATGCAAAGAAAAGATGGATTAAAAAGCAAACATGGAATTATCGTGTAACAGATATCATCATCATCACCAGCAGCAGCAGGAACAGGAGCTGTTTGATTTTAAAATTAAAAAAAAGGTAGAGAATTGCCGTAATAAAAGGCTTTAAATTGATTAAGACCCGAACCAGATAAAGAAGACCCTAAATTATTTCATATTATAATAATAAATAATAATCATCGCTAAAATTGCAAATTAAAGAAAAACAAAACCCCCCATGAGTTGGTAAAGTTTGATGTTCAGCAGGAGCTTAATGGTCTGTATAAAAGATATGGCTTATTCGTACAGTCATATCCCGCTGTTCGGTACGGGCTTATCCGGCCAGCCATGGGCTGAATCGCTCAACTAGGAAAGTGAAGTCTTTTGTATTCAACCCTTTATTTAAACCATTTGTTCCCCTTTTGTCCTTTCCCTTTTTCCCCTTTTCACTTCCATGCCTTTCCGGTGGGGTAGCGACGAGGTTAGATGGGACGAAGGAGGGCGCCGATTCGCTAGGGATGGATGGATGGATGTGAGGGAGGGCTCGCCGAAAGTAAGAGAGGAACCGATTTTAAAAATCGGTGTGTGCAGCGTAGAGAGAGATCGGTGTAAAACTGTATGTATAGATTAACTGTCTATCTATATACATTGTGAAAGTTTTTGTTTAGAAAGATTTTTTTATGGATGGAAGAAATGTATTTTTTAATTGAGAGTGACAGGAGGAAAAAAAAACTTGATTTTTTACATAAGATTTTCCGTAAAAGCTTATTGAATATGTCAATATATGTATCATTAAGTCACTACCAAGCAGTCATATATAGCTGACTGATTAAGCTGCTAACGAACAGCTCTAAGATTCAATTGAAATCGAGTTACGACTTTAGATTTCTTGGAGCTTTTGGGAAGGTTTTTCGACATACCACGACTTGAAGGAAGACCAATTGGATTACGACTAATCCCTTCTGCAAGTGGGAAATCTGAGTGGGTCTGAATTTGGAATTGAACCTTATTTCAATCCCATTTTAAAGAAAATCTAGAATTATTGCAACCTCATAGAAATTTGGTGTTTAAGGGGATTTAAATATTCTTTTTTTCTAATAATTAATTAATAAAAGATAATTTAATTATTATTTTTAATTATTTATAATTTATTTTTATAAATTATTTATAACTCAATTCCTGCAAACTACACATAACAAAAATTCCAAATCCATTTAATTATAAATCTTTCTACAAAACCAAATTATTCAAATCAAATGCCTTTTTCATCATTAAAGGGCTCAAATCTTTTTCTTCTTATGAGATCAGGAGTTCAAATCTCATCAAAAATAATGAAAGTGTGTAAGTTTATTTGTTCTATTTGCTGTATAAAAATATTACATGCTAAAAAAAACTCGAGGATCAATTATCTAACCCTTTACGTGCCATTTTCTTATTTACAGTCTCATTTTATTTAATTAATCTTTTTTTAATCATCACTTTTTTCATCCATAAACAAAATTTTGATAATAAACCACAAGGGTGGTGCTTGATTGGTTTGAGTTTGGTTACAAAGATCAAAATACCAGGAGGTCTCAGATTCAAATCCAAGGAATAATAAAAGTCCCCTTGTGACTACAGAGATTCAAATGCGGTGACTCCGGGCTACTGCAAAGCAGATGGTCGTTCTGAAATTAATCGGTTCGCATAGCGGGTTAGATATCCAGGTTAATAAAAAAATTTCTCATAATAAACAAATAAAACAAATTAGCAAATAGCAATTATTGAAAAAGCTTTACGAGGCCTTTTGTTTGGAATGTGCACAAAAATGTCGAAATCACATGGCTTCTAAATAATTAAACACACTTTTAACACCAATTTTCTTCTGGACCTTTATTGGAAACACCGTTTCTAATGTTCAACAAGGTTGGGTTCGCGTAAGACCAACTTGTTTTCATAAGACCCATAAGACCACTTTTTTACACTTGAAACTTCACAGCAAAACGCTTTAAAGGTAAAAAAAATCAAACCTGCATAACAAAAACACTGTGAAGTTTACCTTCACAGTTTTTTGTTGTGAAATTTTAAGTGTAAAAAATAGTCTCACGAAAACAGGCTGGTCTCACGTGATTCTAAGTCTGTTCAACAGAACACGAATTTCGTAAAACAAATATTTGTTTAATGTACCATATCATACCAGATATTGTCTAATTAATTCACACTTTAACTTGTGTTTTTAAATTGCATCTGATAGAGAAAATATTCAATTCCTTCCAAGGCAAATAATTCATGGACACCTTCACAATCGATGTGAGGAATTAGGGACCGTTTACTAAACGCTTACCTGGTAAGTACTTACCGAGTAATTTTCCTAATCGGATGAACATGGCAAGGGCCAAGAATCTTACCCGGTAAGAGCGAAGATAAGGATGGAGAGTCTTACCCGGTAAGCGAGGGTGACGACTCCTACCCAAGTAAGCGCTTACCAAGTAAATTGTTGCATAGGATACGTTTTGATATACTACAATCTTACCAAATAAAATAAATTATAATGTTGACTCTTAACGTTAAGTACTTACCGGATAAGCATTTAAGTAAACGGCTCCTTTACATTTAAGGTCACAAAAGAGAATTTATTTGGTTCATGAATCCCAAGTCTAATAATAATACCATAAAGTCTAGAAGCCTTAATTGAGTCAAAAATATGTTCATAGATGGAAGTTACAGAATATCGGACATAATCCAGTTGAATTTTGATGATCTAAAAGCGGGTTCGAGTTTGTTCATTCGTCGTCTGTACCAAAATATCGGTCTCCAAACTCGCCCATTCCGGGAACCACACGGAACTCTTGATTCAAACCGGTTTCAATCTCGGAGGTCACTATTTTTATTCTCGGGAACTTTTTGCAAACGACATGCACTCCTTGAGGTGCCTGCCGACACTTTATCTAATTAGTTTTAACTACAACCACAAACGGAGATTACAATCAAAAACATTAACGAACTCACGGAGATTAGGTTTAAGAATATGATGTTGGCCTCCGGAACCCCTTTCTTTAGAAGTAAGGAGATAGCTTGGACTGCTGAATTGCCTGCAAAATATCACCACAAAACATTTGTTCACATCTTCCTAGTGCAAACCAAACGAGCACAGTATATCCCACTGAAGATGGGGTCTGGAATCTAAGAAAATTAAGATGTATGCATATCTGACCTCTACCATTAAAGAGTAGAGTGATTGTTTTTGCGAACCTCCCTAGAGATGGGGTCTAGGAGAGTAAGGGTTTGTTTGTTAGCAACTTAATAAGCTTAATGGAACTCACAGCTTATTCAGTCAGCTAATACATGAATGTTTGGTAGCTATGCTGTTATATCGGTTAGAATACAAAATATCGGTCAGGACCGATATTCGATATATCGGTTATATCGGCGATATATCGGTGATATATCGGTCCAAAATAGCGGTTAACATAATATTTCTTAGAATTATATATATAATATGCATTAATTAGAGTTTAGAAATATAGTTTCAAAATTAAAACATCACATCATCTAAAATGTTCAAAAACGAGCTAATCCCAAGCAATAGGTTCGGCATTCGAGAAAAGAAGCCAAACCGTGATTCCGTGAGAAGTTTGAAGTTGTGAGAAGTCTGAAGTCGTGATTCGTGAAGTGAACTAGGTGTCTGTGATGTGTGAAGTCGTAACTCGTAAAGATGAAAAGAAAGGAAGAAGACCGTTGGAAGGCAGACTATTAATTTCAGACCTAATAATATATGTTACCAAGCCCAAAAAACTAAGCCCATGAAATAACAAAAACCCAAATAATTGAACCCTACAAATCGATATATCGGTCCGATATATACATCAAAATATCGCTAAATATCGGGAAAAATTGGAAAATATCGCCGATAATATCGGGGACGATATTTTGACCGATATTTATGCAGCGATATTTTGCCTAGGTCCGATATCCGATATATCGCCGATATATCGACGATATATCGCGATATTAACAGCATAGTTTGGTAGTTGCTTAATGAAATCAAAAGCAGCTTATTCAATAAGCTTCTAGGGGGAGCCTTTTTTTTTTTTTTGATTAACCTGGATATCCAACCCGCTATGCGAGCTGACTAATCCCAGGGCAACCACCTGCTTTGCAGATAGCCCGGAGTCACCAAAACCTCCGCGGCCACAAGGGGATTTTTATTCCTCCTTGGATTTGAACCTGGGACCTCCTGGTACTTTTGACCTTTGGAGTCAAGCTCAAACCAATCAGGCACCCTCCTTGTGGTTTAGAAGAAGCTTTATGCAAAAAGCGAAAAAAAATTCAAACCTACCCCCTCCCAATTAATAAATATGCTTCTTGCATCTATGAAAAAACCCTCCTAAACAAAACTCTTCCCAATCTATACAGACACATTAATCCACATAGAGAACTTTTTCCATACAGAACTTAATGAAAAACCAACCAAACAGCCCCAGATGTACGCATATCTGACCTCTACCTTACAGAGTAGAGTGGTTGTTTCTATGAACCCACCTAGAGATAGGGTCTGGGAGGGTACGATGTATGCATGCCTGACCTCTACCCTAAAAAGTAAAGCGTTTGTTTCTTGAACACCCTAGGCTAGCGAAAAGTGTATGAAATGGAGAAAAATAGATATGCCAAATATATAAATAAATATGTGTATATATATATATATATAGGTTAAGTTGATATGAGTAGGCAATAGCAATACCTGTTCCAAGTATAGGATCCAACAACAACACGTGCCTATCGGAGATGTCTTGTGGTAGTTTTTCATATATTAACTGCATAATGGTCCAACATATATAGATAATAAGATCTCATTGAAATAAATGGGGTTTTTTGACGTTTATAAATACTATATACTTTTAAATAAAGCACAAAACCTACCTGTTGACCATTGTCACCCTCTCTATGAATGAGAATCTTTCCGATCTTGATACCCTTACAACACGCCCGCAAAGCATTTTCCATACTTTCACCACTGCAAACCGTTTGGATACTTGCAATTAGTTGAAAGCAAGCTATTTATTAATTAAAAATTCATTAATCCTAACTATATTCACATACCTCCTAATAACAGAAACACCACATAATCTCTTACAAAAATCTACGCCTGTGTATACCGACCCTGCATTCACACAAACCAAAATCGTTATAATTACAAAATAATTAGTTACGGTCTTTTCATGGTTAGATAGAATGACCCAACCTTAAACGAAGAACATAAAGTGGATCAGTAGGAGCTCACCAGTTGGAGTTGTGACCTGTTTTTCTGTAAACGGTAGATGTCCAAGACCATGCTCGACAACCTATTGCAGACATAAAAAACCGAAAGAAATGACCTTTCTTATCCCAGAAAGAGGGTAAGGGGCTGTTTACTAAAGGTGCGTTTGGTATACATAACAGGACAGAACAGGACAACTGTTCATCGTTTGGTAAGAGAAAACTGGACATGACTGAACAAATAAAATGACCAATTTACCTCTAATGAGTTGTTTATATCTTATATATATATTTTGATTAATTTATGTAAGTTATAAATTTATAGTAAAATAAATATTTTTATAACAAAATATATCATTAGAAAGTTTTTGTCAAGATGATCAAAAGGACACCAAAACAAAAAAATTATGTAGTTTCCAATTTTTATTTTATATCTTTTCTATATTATTTTTAATTATTAATATCTAATAAATTACATAAATTAACCAAAATATAGAAACTGGATAAAAATGATATTTTGATGACAGTTTAGTGAATGTTTAAAGAGCATAAAATGCAATTAATAATATTTAAAGAATGAATAAAATGTAAAGAGGGAGACGTATTTGATGTTTTAGAAGAGAATTAAGTTTTATTTTGAGATTATATTGGTAAAATATAAGTTTGTTCCACCCTGTTCTATAGGTAGGGCTGGAACACGCATGTTCCACTTTGTTCTTGTCTGTTCCACATAAAAGTCATGCCAAACGTGTAACAGTGATCATTTTTTTATTTTGTCCTGTCCAGTGTACCAAACGCAACCTAATTGTTGACCTCCTCTTACTCGGTAAGAGGTGCATACTCAGTAAGATAGGATGATGTTTACAGACAAAGTCTCACCCACAAACATGCTGACCGAGATGCTGACCCATTAAGAAAGGGGTTGCTTTTTGACTAGGTCAGTGCTTACCCAGACACTTGGTAAACAACCAATTTCAGTTGGCTCTTACCCAAACTGCATTCTTACTTGGTCAGCACTTACTGAATTTATGTTGGTAAACTACCCCTAAACCATGAAACAGAACTATGAAAAGAAACAACTCACCAAACGAATCAATCGATCAGCATAAAACACAAAATCATGTTTTGTTGTTTGAGCATCACGTATAAGCGTATGCATGCCACGTATCTACAGGACAACAAGCAATATAACAATGAGAGAACAATACGACAAAAAGATCAGTCGGGATTTACAAAAGATGCAACTTTAAAAATGTTACCTGAAAAGTAGACTGAATGACATATAAGTTGGGATATATTTTACAAAGATCATGTTGACCAAGTTTCGTCCGAATGTGTTGAACAATTAAATCAATGGCTACATGGTTGTCTCCTCCACGTGGAATGATGATGTCAGCATACTTCTTTGTGGGAAGTATGAAGTCATCAAAAGCCGGCTTCACGAACTTTGAGTACTGCACATAAGTTCAATATCATGCCTGTTGTATGAACACTAAGGGACTGTTTGTTAGCAGCTTAATGAGCTTAATGAGACTTGTTGCTTATTCAGTCAGCTATACATGACTGTTTGTTAATGACTTAATGATATAGAAAGCGGCTTATTGAGTAAGCTTCTAGTGGGGAGCTTTATATAGAAAGCCAAGTTTTTCCCAAACCTGCCCCTCCCAAATCCCAATTAGATAACAAAAAACCTTCCTGAACAAAAACCTTTTCAATCTTTAAAGATAAATTATCCATACAGACAACTTTATACACACATGACTTAATGAAAAACCAACCAAACAGCCCATAAATCACCTTATGAAGATTAACGAGCAATTACAAGTGCAAGTCCAAATTAGAGATGCTGCATGATCGCTTATTATCTTAAAAAGGTAGGAAGCAATTAACCTGATCGAGCACCATACCGATATCTCTTCCCTTTTCACCTGTATCACGCCTTATTCGTCTCGCCAAGCGTACATCAGCATCTGTATTGAAAAATCAGCATCTTGAAGACTGACAGAGGTCAAACTCAATTTAAAAATAACAAATAGATCCATAAGTTATAAAGGTAATGCACTGTTTGACTTGGCATATAGTTCAATGAAAACGTATATTTATTGGTCAAATGTCTAAAATGCCCCTTGATAAGAACAAAATGTAGTATGACGATTGACATGATTGACATGCTTTAGAAACAATCGGCCACTCTTATTCCAAAGAATGCTATATAGAGAGAGAGAAGGGGTGGGGGGTTCAAGGGAAAACCACAAAAAAGGAGAAAATTGAGGAACACCCTAATGCATACATGGATAGAAACCAGGAAACACTTTCAGTTACTTTTATGCACATGTGCATAATGGACAAATGAATGGTTATTAGGGTGTTCTTCAGTATTCCATTTTTCGTGGTTTTCCCTCTCAACCCAACCCTATAGAGAGAGAGAGAGAGAGAGAGTCGGGTTCAAACAAGAAGAGTAACTAAATAAGAGAATATGAAAACGGCCAAATCACGTACAAAATCACGTGATTTTACATTAACGGTTAACAAAAGGATGTGCAGGCGACTTTGGCTGGGACCTCAACTCGCAGGCAAAAATTTGCATGGATCACATGTGATTTTATCCATGATTTTAGTGTAAAATCACATGTGATTCGACCGTTCTCGTATTCTCCTATTTAGTTATTGTTCTCGTTTGAACCTCCTTGGCTCCTTCTATATTATGATATTTAGGTTAGGTTGGATGAGAATAAAAGTTATGGTAAGAAGGGATCTCCACCCTTGGATCAATCCTAATTGAAGATCAACACTAATGCATAGCACCGAGATGCACCGGATCAATTCCCATGATAAGCGCAATTCATGGGGTGGGTGAGATTAAAAGTGATCAAGGGTCAAGATCCCTTCTTACGCTTCTCACCTTAACTCCTATCCTCACACAATCCTTCGCCTATATATGTGTGTGTGTGTGTGTGTGATAGCAAGCCTACGGAGCTTGCAGCATAGAAAGGATACTAAGGCATGGAAACATTGGCTAACTTATAAAGGAACAACATTAAATCCATTAAACATTGCATCAAACCAGATTTAATGTGTAAAAGGAACCTGTGTCGACAAAGATCTTCATATTCATCATATCGCGCACACGTGGATCATGAAAGATAAGAATGCCTTCCAAAATTATCACATCTGAAGGATTCACCTGCCAAAGGGATTAACCTCATTTATGTAGTACATGTATGAACATAAAAAGGGATGCACAATTTATCAAGATTATATTCCAAGAAAAAGAGAAAGAAAGTATAACGATGGAGTCCGACCAAACTTCTTTTGTTATAACTTCCAAAATTCACATAATTATTGGTATATTACATTCATAATTTATATAAAAGAATATTACGAGTTAATTAGGAGGCGTTTACCAGACGCTTACTCGGGTAAGTGAATACCAAGTCACATTACCTTACCAGATGAATGTGGTAATGATCAAGAATCTTACCTGATAAGAGCAAGACAAAGACCAAGAGTCTTACCCGGTAAGTGAGGGCGACGACTTTTACCAGGGTAAGCGCTTACGGGGTAAATTGTTGCATAAGATAATGTTAAATTTTACCGGTAAGCACTTACCTGGTAAGTGGGCCCCTTAATATGTTTAGATTGAAATTGAGATCTTTTCGACTAATATAAAATCGGTGAGTGTAGATTAAAAAAAACTAACCCTTCGAGAGACATTGTTTTTATAACTCTTGAAGTCATATTTTGGAATATCAACTGCTTTCCCGTGCTTCAACATCTCCATGGCTGATAATAACTTTTCAGTGTCGAAAGCATCTGAAAAGCAATGCAGCATGATTAATACAAATTAAGTCAAATGAACATAAAAAGGCCAAGCAAAGATAATTCAAATTTTACTGCACCATAGAAAAGGTCCAGGATGAGCGAGTGACCAAGTCGATGCTCTCAAATTAACGTAGTAATGAAGTCTAATATCAAAATAAGAGGTGGGTGGGACGATTTTTTTTTTTGTTATCACTTACATATTATTAAAGAAAACGTACGGTAAGGTAACAAGACCCACCGGGATGATCAAAATTGTACTCGTGAACCTTTGAAAGTTCCTCTGAAGTCAAACTATGATAGAACGAGTCCTGCCAACACATCCATAGATATGTATAAATTAGATGATAGATGAAAATTTTGATAAACCAACCAAAAGATTGAAAAATAATAAAATATACAAACACGAGGCCGATCATATGTCCTTCAAACACTCCCTGCATGATTGTTACGATGATCTGTGGAAAATAAGGTACCTGGTTGACGAGTACAACACGCTGATCATGAAGCTGTTCAATGATCATATCGCAAACTGTGGTCTTCCCAGATGCCGCACCTCCAGCAACCCCTGGTTGTTGATAGAAATATTTATATTCTAAGCATAAATTTAATTTTAACCTTTTATAATAACATGGGAATATGGGATCATTGGTTCTTTTCAAAATACAAAATTAGGGTCATTTTCAGGGGAAAACCGCAAAAAAATGAAAATTTGAGGAACACCCTGGTAACCGTTCATCTGAACGGTATGCACATGTGCATACACGTAACTGTAAGCAATTTGTATGGTATCCACATGTGCATAACATGCTCACGTGCATAAAAACCAAGAAACAGCTTCAATTACTTGTATGCACATCTGCATACCGTCCAGATGAACGGTTACAGGTGTTCCTGAGTTTTTAATTTTTTTGCCGTTTTCCCCTGAACCTGACCCTATACAATTATTTCATCTATGTGTTCTATTCTGCAACACATACCAATGACAAAAGGTTGCTTATGTGGTTTTCCAGTCATTGAAGTCGATGCCTGCTCGACTTGTGTATTCCGTGTCTCTATCCCATCCCTATGCAATCCAGAAAAGTGAACCCCTGATGATGCCTCTATTAAATCTTCCACTGGATTAGACCCCATTTGCAATGAACTACACCAGAAATTGAAGCAAATCATATCGACCAAGTTCTAACTAAAATTAGGTACAATAATATGGAATTCAAAAGTAGCACTGGTTCAAAATAAAAGTACAAACCATTCCACCCTTTTAAAATAGAATTTACCGTCTTTACCCTCAACAAGTAATTAACATATACGCTTGTGGCCACCTGAAGATATACTTCAGGGCTGTAGGCGAACAGTCGCCACTTGCCATGGGATTAGTCTAGGTGAAGTCTCAGATCATCCATTTCCAAGAAAAAAATAATAATTAACATTTCCCCCTATAACCACAAGGGCCAGCTCAACCGGCAAATAAAGTGTAGACCTTGGCTCCTCCCCATAGATCAACAGTTTGAGTCGGTCTCAGCTACGGGACATTTTCCTGCTTATTATCTTCAAGGCCTCATGTGATTAGTCGAACCCGCAAGTTTGTCCGGTTACCAAAAAGACATCCCCCCCCCAAATGTAGTGGGCTAGTAGCACTGAGTAAGGGCCTGTTTTTTGTTAGCAGCTTAATGAGCTTAATGGGACTCACAGCATATTCAGTCAGCTAATAGCTATGTATGACTGTTTGGTAGTGTCTTAATGATATCAAAAGTGGCTTATTCAGTAAGCTTCTAGGAAGGAGCTTTATGCAGAAAGCCAAGTTTCTTCAAACTTGCCCCTCCCAATTAAAGACACGATCTTTCTATCTATGAAAAAACCGTCCAAACAAAAACCTTCTCAATCTATACAGACAGATTAATCCACACAGATAGCTTTATTCATACAAGAGTTAATGGAAAACCAGCCAAACAGCCCCTATATTCTATACTATGTTAGGAACCACAAGTTTCGATCTAGTAACTTCAACGATAAACAAAAACAGAGTTGGGTAATATCCAAACAAATAAATTAATAAACCAACTTGGACCCGAGTCTAATATTGTTTGGTGTAGTCTTTTAGCAGTTTACTAGCCTGGTGCAGGTCATTGACACTTGAGCCCCAATTAAATTTGGTCATCTTTAACAAGCAAGAAAACTCCTGATAAAATTCTTGAAAATAGCTGCTCACTACCATCTTCCACACATTTTTCCTTGGGAAATCCATTTTACATCTCCAATGCAGTTGCATCAGTAGAGTACTACAGTCACAATTAGCTAAGACAATCTGACCATGATGCTGAATACGAAAAGCTGGAAACATGCATAGCCCGAAACCTCTATGGATAAAGTTGCCTAATACTGGTTTCAGTGAGTTCGAATTCCATGTGAAAAACAAAGACACAGTGGTTTATTGGAGTTCCACTTCTTAATTAAACCGAAGTTTCAAATCCCCAATTCTTTCCACAAACAGCGATCATGTGTGATGTGAATGATTTAAAGTTCACGTTCAATCAGACATAACAAAATTGCAGGAAACGAATGTAAAATAGGGTAACAAAGCAAAATGGCAAGAGGGGTTTCTAAACAGACCTTGTACGCTCGACTAGGGTTTCCAAGATTCAGGATTGAAGGTACTTTCTTGATTTTAACCTGATCAGTCTCAAATGCAATTTTGATTTTGTAAATGGGGTAGAGGAGGGGAGGATGGGAATGAAAGAATAGAAGCAACCCAGTTTGGTGAATCGCAAACGGACACATTGAATTTATAGGGGAAGGCGAGGTGCGTGTTTAACTTGAATTAGGGCACCAAATTTGGGGAAAATTACTGGAATTTTGGATATATGGTACAGAACTGGACCGGTGAAAAACCCGGTAAAAACAACGTGGATCCGATTCGGATGTGGGGCCCAGAGTTCTATAAGTAAAGATAACTGCGAAGTCTGTCAAAATAAGATGCGGTGGGCCCCACCTTCTACTTTCCAGGTCGCTGCGTCAGATAGAAAATTCCCGACGATCTTGACTACTTTCGAATGATATGAATTTAAATCAATTAACATGGTTAACATATTAATATCTATATTATATTATAAATTATTTGATAAAAAATTTTAAAAAATATTTTTTATGTATAAATTACTGTTTATTGATGTATATTAGTTAAAGTTTAAAATTATAAGTAAATTGTGAGTAAATACAACTTATTAAAGCTTTATATTTGAATTCGTATAACTAACTGTATATAAACATAATCGAGAGGATAAACATCTTATTTTAAACATAAAATATTTAAAATATAATTAGGATAATAATTGAATTCTAATAAAATATTTAATTATTATTTTTATAAAAAAATATCATTAAACAGAAAAAAAAATAAAAATATATATAAAAAAGAAATTTTAAATAGTTAGTTTGGTATTAATATCAATATTTTTTTTAATTCTTTGTGATATCTTAATATTTATATCTTATTCAAAAATAAAAAACATTATCGCTTTTTCAAAACCATATAGAATCATATTATAACATTGACTGAGGTCTGAGACAAAAAAAACATTAAAATTAAGATGTATCTCGTCGCATTGAACGAGTACCTTTCTAGTATAGAAAGTGACTTCTTCAGTAAGTTTGTAAAATGATGGATTTATTTATACTTGTCTTTTCAAAACGCATTCATTCCATCTATGAAAAAGATCCTCCTATATATAAAATCGGTCTAATCTATATATCTATACTATATTATAAAGCATTTGACAAAAACTCTTAAAAATCATTTTTTATGCATAAAGTATTGCTTATTAATGCATGTTACTTAAAACTCAAGATTATGCGTAAGTACAATTTATTAAAGCTTCATATCTGGATTCGTGTAACTAACTGCATATAAAATATAATTATGACAATCATTGAGTTCTAACATAATACTTAACTATTATCTTTATAAAATGTTATATTATTAAACCAAAAATAAATTATTTCATTATTAAACTTAAATTTAATTATAATAAAAAAATTAAACAAACTACATAAAATGATAACTTTTAAATAGTTGATTTGATATTAACATCGATATATTTTTTTCAAATTTACATTTTATTCAAAAATAAAATCATTATTGCTTTCTTAAAAACACATAAAATGGAATTATAACATCGATAGAGACAAATAATAAAATAGAACATTAAATTCGGAAAGTATCTCGTTGCATTGTGCGAGTACCCTTCTACTATATACAGATTGAAACATACATATAATTTTATCCATACAAGAGTTAATGAAAACCAACTAAATAGATCCAAGGATTTATTTTGTTGTTTTTTTTATTGAGTCGTGTATAGAGAAAGTGGTATGTGTGGATTAATCTGTTTATGTGAATTGGTAAGGTTTTTGTTTCGTAGGGTTATTTTATAGATAAAAGTGACGTCTTTTTTAAATTGGGAGTGTTGGTTTGGAAAAAAAAATCTTTCTACATAAAACTCTCTCTAAAAGCTTATTGAGTAAGCCACTATCGATGGGGTTTTCAGGTTTGATATCAAGATTTCGACAAGTAATGATTTGAACAGCAACATATTTGACAAGAGGTCACTGTAACAACCTGATTTTTCGAAACAAGTCGAGTTTTGTGGAGATTTTGTTCTCCAATATCCAAGTTTGTGTGTATGGTCGGATTTGTGGAGATTTAGTTCTTTTGTTATTAAACTTAAATTAAATTATAATTAAAAAATTATATTAAAAACATTTCAAAAAAAAAAAAACGAGAACTTTTAAATAGTTAATTTAATATTAATATAAAAAAAATCATAATTTTATAATATCTTCAAATTTATATTTTATTTAAAAATAAAAAAAAATTATCGTTTTCTCAAAACTACATAAAATCGTATTATGACCTCGATAGAGATAAATGAATAAACGAAACATTAAAATCGAGATGTATCTCGTCTTATTACATGAGTAACCTTCTAGTATTCAATGTAACGATTCACATATCACCCTATGAAGTCTTAACCAATTAGCATATGCCCAATTTGTGTTTGATATAAAATTCTTAAAAAAAATTAAAAATATATTAAATGTTAAATATGCGTATCAGACGGCCCAATCCAATAAGCAATTAAATGGGTCAAGTTCTTTTAGTTGGGCCCAGATTAATGTGTATCGGAAACCCAAAGATTTTGCTATACATATACATGCATGCACGTAAGTATCGGGTTGGGTTTCGGTAAGAATGAATCTCTACCATTGGACGTAAATTAGGATGAGATGCATGGATATAAGATGCACCGAGATGCACCATATCAATCCCCAGTCCCCCTAGCGGCTCCGCCGCTACATGAAACCACATTGAAGTTCTTAAATGAGTTTTTTTTAATATCACCAAATCTTATATGTGAGGTTCCAAATACAAACCGTCACAAATTATATAAACCAATCAATTGAGATATTTTTGGACATGATGAGAGTTCATTAATTATGATTAACGCATTATTTTAGGAAACAATCAAGATATTTATGAAACCACATACCCATAGACTAGATAGACGGTTGAAATTGATTTATATGATTTGCATAATAAACCACCTCCACATAAACATTACAGGGGAGATGATAAAAACTTTTTTCGATAACAATCGAGTATGCATATAAAGCTAACGAGTTAAAAGTATAACAAATGTTAATAAAAAAACAAGCACAACGACAAAATTCTCATATTTTTTATACTGATAGATGCCTGTGTTCATATATATATTTGAAAAAGCACAGGTACATAATATATATTTTTTGAAGTACATAATATTTATATACATCAAATAGAACAAATAAATTTATACACTCTCCTCACATTTGGTAAGGTTTGAACCCTTGATATCTAAAAATATATCAAATTTTTAGACCAAACAACTATATAATATAATTATGATTATTATAGTTAAATTGTATAAAAATGTGTGAGAAATGCATTGAATGAAACCCCCAATGTGTGTTTATGATTTGAATCTAAAGCTTTATGCAAAAGAGCCAATTAAGGCCACAATTTAAAGAACCCCAAAGGCATGGGGGCTCATAATAATTAACAGAGAAGATGGGGGACCCAACTGTAATTATGATCCCTCATGCACATCCATGTAAATAAAAAACCACCTCCTAATAAATATTTTTAAATATAACAAAAAGTTTCATAAAAAAATCAATCAATCAACAACCACATTTTATTTGATTAAGTTTTTGAATTATTTTCTTGAATGAAAAAGTTATTAAACTTTATAATTTTAAATGATTAAGTCTTTGAACTGTTGTTTTTAAATAAAAAATTATTAAATATACTCAGTTTCAATGACTAAGTCATTGAACTTTTTTTTAAATAAACAATCGAACTTTTAAGAATTAGTTACCTACATTATTTTTAACAAAAAAAAAAAAACTATGTGTAACCGACTAGAAATGCTTTAAAGTAAAAAAAAAAAAAACTAAATTAGTTTTACCATTTCCAAATTCTACACCCTTTAAACCCCTTGTTATTCACTCGTGCCCCCATCATTGTCCATTCTTCCTATCGCCTATTACACTATTGGCCCATCGATCTCCGTCTTTTTGATCTATTTTTAGGATATTCCATTTTTTTTTTTTACTTTAAGACATTTCTAGTTAGTTACAAGTAATTTTTTTCGCTTAAAAGAATGTAAGTAACCGATTTTTGAAAGTTGGATGATTTATTTTATTTGAAAATTTGTATAAGAAATTATCATTCAAAATGAGAAAGTTTAATGGATTTTTCATTAAAAAATTAGTACAGGGAATTAACCATTCAAAATGGTAGAGGTTTAATGGTATTTTCATTAAAAAAAAACAGTTCATAAACTAAATCATTCAAAATGAGAAAAAAAATTTCCTTATAATTATTAAAAATGTTTCATATCTTCACAAAACTAAAATCAATTTCTAATAATTTGACTATTTAGGGGATGTTTATCAAATGTTTACTCAGTAAGTGTTTACCGATAAAATTTAACACTACTATTTACTTAACGGGTAAGATTATAGTCCACCAAAGCGACATCGCATGTAACAATTTACTCCCTAAGCGCTTACCGTGGTAAGAATCACCATCCTCACTTACCGGGTAAGACTCTTGGTCATTGTCTCGCTCTTACTGGGTAAGATTATTGGTCATTGCCACATTCATCAAGTGAGGTAATGTGACTTGGTAAGTGCTTAACCGAGTAAGCGTTTGGTAAACAACCCCTTAGACACTGTATGTTAAGGTAATTGATCTTTTTGGGGTAATTTTCGATTCCAGGCCAACTTACACGCACCGACTAATCATTCGGACAATCACGAACGGTCTGAAGCCATTGCAGATAAACTTTCATAACCAAAAATCCTTGACAACGCTTGGATTCAAATTCGATGTAAATGAGATTTTTCAATACAACCTTCTTACATTTAACTACTATACCATAACCCAAATAGTAAAAACAACTGATATTGAAGATCCATCTTAAAACCCGACCAACGATATGGCATGTCTAACCACGTCGCTCTGTCCAAATCCGTCTCTTGCAAATTTACAAGATTTCTTGAAATTGATCGAAAAAATGGTTTTATTTTGTGAAATATCTATACTATATTATAAAGCATTTGACAAAAAACTCTTAAAAACCATTTTTTATGCACG